GTCCTCATTGAAAAGTGCACATAACAGTAACTACTTTGCAAGATTGTTTTGTTCGTCCAATAAAATTAAAACACAGTAAATGGTAACTGATATAATCACATTACATTAATACATGGAACATAAATGAAATCTGTAGTTACTGGTTTGGGGTGTCTTAGAGAAAGACTTGAAGCATAACATGACACACATAAAATTTAAACATTAACAAATTTGGAACCAAATAGATTTGGCACATAATTTGTATTCATAAATAGATGGTACATTCCCAGATGATAAAAACGGTGCCCATTTATTTTTGCATCCCCAGCACTTTTCTAGAATGGTACCTTACACATATCAACACTCAGTAAGTGCTTGTTGAATTGAACTGAATTGGATTTCTTCATAAATTCAGGAGAATTCTTCAAACTCTGATCATTAATTTTATGTGAATTAAATTTCAGTCAAACTTAAAAATGTGAACAAGAACTACCAAGCACGCTGACCAATAACCTTTGGGTTAATGGGAATGCAGATAAATGGTTTAATTCACATACCACTCAATTTGTCCATTGATAGAGTACAATTCAATGAGTTGTAATATATTTACAGTGGTAGGCAATTATCACTACTTTCTTTTTTTTTTGATGGCACCACTTTCTATTTTAAAACATTTCACTGCACCCAAAAGAAAGCCTAGACCCCTTGGCAATCTTCCTTTCTTTTCTTTCCTGACAGTCCCAGGCAGCCACTAATCTAGTTTTTGCCTCATTGTTGTTGTTAGGTGCCTTCCAGCTGCTTCTAACTCAGTAGCAGAATGGAACACCATCCTGTCCTCTGATCCTGGCCATCCTCAATTGCTATGGTTGAGCCCATTGTTGCAGTAACTATCAGTTCGTCTCACTGAGGGTCTCCTCTTTTGCTGACCTTCTACTTTACCAAGCATGATGTCTTTTTCCAGGGACTAGTCCCTCTTGATAATGTGTCGAAAGTACTTCTAAGGAGCATTCTGGCTGGCTTTTCTCTAAAACAGATTTGTTCGGTGTTCTGGGGCTCCACGGCTGTTTAGTATTCTTCACCAACACTGCCATTCAAATGCATCAGTTCTACTCCAGCCTTCCTTATTCAGCCTCAAGCTTTCATATGTATATGAGGCACCTAAAGATACATGGCTTGGTCAGGAGCTCCTGAGCCTTCAAATGGACAGTTTTGTTCTTTAACACTTTAAAGAGGTCTGTGCGGATTTTCCCAATCCAATGTGTTATCTGATTTCTTGACTTCTTCCATGAGCTTTGATTGTGGATCCAAGTAAAATTAATTTCTTGACAATGTCAAATTTTTCTCCATTTATTTTAATGCTTTGATTATGGGTCCACGTAAAAAATATTTTTCCATTTATTGTGATGCTGTCTATTGGTGCAGTGTGAAGATTTGGGTTTCTTTTACTTTCTGGTTTTCGTACTGATGACTGTAGACTTTGATCTTAAATCAGCAAGTACTTTGAGTCCTCAGCTTTCAGCAAAGTTGTGACTTATGCACATTACAGAATCTTAATGAGCCTTCCTCGAATCCTGATGTTGTGCTCTTTTTCATAATAGCCCACCTTCTCAATTTATTTTCTCAGCATACAGATTAAATTAGTATGAAAGGATGTAACTTGTACACACACCTTTCCTGATTGTACGCATGCAGTATCCCTTTGTTCTGTTTGGTCCTGTTGGTCCACAGCTTCCTAATGAGCACAATTAAGTGCTTTGGAATTCCCAATACTTGCACTATTGTCCACAGTTTATTATAATCCACACAGTTGAATGTCTTCGTGTAGTTAATAATATACAAATAAACATCATTATAGTATTCTCTGTTTTCAGCCAAAATCCATCTGACATCAGCAATGGTATTCTTCATTCTGTGTCTTCTTTTGAATTCAGCTGAATTTCTGACAGGTCCCTATTAGTGAACTGCTGCGCCTGTTTTTGAATTATCCGCAATGAAATTTTACTTGCAGGCGAAATATTGTTTGATCTGTTAGGTCATCTTCGGAATGGGTACAAATATGGAGCTCTCCTAGTCAGTTGGCTGTCTTCAAATTTCTTAGCACAGGCCAGAGTTGCATCAGCTTATTGAAACATTTTGATTGGCAGCTCATCAATTTTTGAGCCTTGTTTTTCACTAATGCCTTCAGTGCAGTTTGGATTCTTTTCTTCTGTATCATCAGTTGTTGCTCATGTGCTCCCTCTTGAAATGGTTAAAGGTCGACAAATGCTTTTTGGTACAATGACTCTGTGTATTCCTTCACTTTTTGGAAACTTCAATATTTTACCCGTTTACAACTTGAGACTTGAATTTTTTTGTTGTTCTTTCAGAATGAGAAACTGAGCATTTTCTTACCTTTTGACTTTCTTGCTACAAGTCTTGCATACAAACCAAAACCATTAAACTCACTGCCATTGAGTTCGCTCTGACTCCTAGTCACCTACGTAGGGTTTCTGAAATGGTTAGTCTTTATGGGAATATACCGTCTCTTCTTTCTCCTACTGAGCTGACTGATGGGTTTGAACAGCAGACCTTGCAGTTAGCAGTCTAACACTGACCTAACTGTGCCACCATGGACGCTAGATCTTTGATACTTCATTCTAATACTTTACTTTGTCTTCTCAAGCTGCTTTTTGAATTTTTTTTGTTCAGTTCTTTTACATCATCATTATTTTTCCACCTCAGACACACTTGTAACCTGAGAACTTAAATCAGAAAATACATGGATTTGAACAGAAGACAGCTGGACCAAGAGTGGAGTACTGTGCGTTGGCAGACAAACAAGGTCTTGTTACTTCAACGCCCTGTATGCCGTACTACGATACGTATTATTCTGGCAATCCTGTGACGGAAATTCTGTTTTACTTTGTTTATGCTTGTTCATATTAGGGTGTATCTCTGAGGTGCTATGTCAGTGGGGTCACTCTCTTGAAGTTGGGTTATTGGTTTTTCTATTTTTTGGTAAAGAAACCCAGGATTGATGAGCCAAAAGGGACAACAAACAGAACAAGGATTTAGTGGGAAGAGTACAGGGAGATAAAAGGGAGATGATGTCAAGGAGTCCAGAAATGAAAAGTATGTTTTTGATTTTAGAAGCAATCATACAAATCTGCTTGACATGATTGAACTATGGAATGATATGACATATGTATTAATTCCCATATAATAACAAATTAAAAGAAAAAAAAAAAGCATAGATCCTGAAATGGCTTTGGGGCTTGCACTAAATCTTAGCTCCAACTTAAAAACAATTTGTTCTTACATCATGATCCTGCTTGATATTTGCCTCAGGAAGGGAAAACAGAAGGCATGGTTGCTATAGCAAAATGTGGCGAAGAATTTAGATGGTGCCTGGTTATCAGATAAAATAGCATCTGTGGTCTTAAAGGCTTGTCTCCAAGCAGCTATCTAAGTGAGATGTCAACTAAGTCCACATGGAAGATGCACACCATCAGCAGTCTCTGAAGGACTAGCATCCATACAATCCAAAGTCAAAGGAGGGATCAGTATCAGAGCCTAAATTGTGAGAATATGATGTGCAGGAGGCAATGGATGACAGTGGGAGCCCAAGATTCATTTGAAGAACTACACAGGAAATAAGCCCAGAGAACTCCCCCTATCTAAAATTGAGGAATGGGAGGAAAGTGGTTACTAAACAGAATGCTTGGGAGAGATGAGTATAGAAAATCAAAGGTAGAAATGTGACTTGAATAGTTAAAACTTTGTCAGTAGATCCCCCTATGATGCAGGCTGGGCAAGATTGGGTTTCCAAAATTTCCTGTATTTTTGGTTTGTATTGTTGTGTATGTTCATACAGAGATGTATCTCACAGGTGTTATGTCTTGGAGGACACCCGCTTGAAGTGATGTTACATGTGTTTTCATTCTTCGGTACACAAAACCCAGGATTGATGAACCTATAGGGACAGCAAGCAGAATAAGGGTTTTGGGGAGGGGGGCTGTACACTGGTGGTGGTGGGGGGGGGTAAAAGGAAGACCTTGTTAAGGATTCCATGTATAAAAAGAATGTTTGGAAACTGATTGTGGCAGCAACTGTACAATTCTGCTTGTACAGAATTAATAATAACATTTAAAAAATCTTAATTTTTTCCATTCTCTTTAGCTATACACTTTGGTGTTTTCCTTCTTTCCTTTTGCTTTCTTTATGGATTATGCTCTTAATGTCATCCCACATCTCGTTTGCTCTTCTGTCATTAGTGTTAAATACAGCAAATCTGTTTTTGAAATCGTGTCTAAATTCACTGAGACAGCTTCAGTTCTGTCACCATGGCCAGATTTTTCAATGATCCTTCCTCTCTGTTTCCAACTTTGACATACCAATCACCAGTGATTATCAACACACGTTGATGTCCTGTTTCATTAATTTCAGACTGAAGAAGTTGGTAGAATTCTTCAATTTCTTCATTGACTTGGTTTGTGCATACATTTAAAGAATAGTTACATTAAATATTATATTGTATATGTATGGGTGTTACCCAGTCAAAGATTGGAGAGTACAAGATAGATCTTGAAATGTTCTTTTTGACAAGGAATCTGGCACCATCCTCCTTCATGTTGTCATTTTGGGCATAATCAACTAAAGATGATCAGACACAAAATGGCCAACACCATTCCATTTCAGTTCACTAATGCTTAGGGCACTGATCTGGATTTATTTCCGTTTTGACAACTTCTAATTTTCTTAGGTTCGTACTTTGTACCTGCCTCATTTTGGTTATTAATAGATGTTTGAAGGTATTTCTTCTCATTTTCAGTCATATTCAATCTGCAAATAAATGCCTCAAAATAGGCAAATAAATGACTAAGGTCGATTCTACTTTGAAGGGGCAGCTCTTCCTCAGTCATATTTTGTCTCTTCTTCTGGGACTATATCAGACAATGATCCATGGCTGTTCATAAGGTTTTCAGTGGCTTATTTTTCACAAGTGATTAATCACCTATTCCTTCTTCCTAGTCTGTCTTACTCTGGAAACTCCACTGAAACTTCCCTCTGCGACATCAGTGACATAGCTCTCAGCATCACAGCACAAGCCACCACAGCGCACCAAGCTGACAGTGAGTCTGCCTATGTCTCTGTAGGCTTGTCTACTTTGGACATTTCATATAAGATTTTGTGCCAGGTTTCTTTCTTCCTATAATGTTTTTGAGGTTCAACCATTTAGAAACATCTAACAGTATTTATTCTTTTAGTGCCAAATAATGTTCCATTGTATTATTCCATTCTTTTAAAAAGCTTCCATTTTGTTCTTTTCTTTCTTTGTGATGCTGATTTCAGTACTTTATAATCTTTCAACAAATTGTTTTATGATTTTAAAGTTTACAATAAAGTTTGCAGAGTTCTCAACAGAACATAAGAAAATATACTACTCAATCATTATTTTGGTAAAAATTTGCACATAAAAATTTAGATTCACATTATATCTCCTTTTTCTATATATGATATAAAGATCATCACTTCAGTTAAGGTATAATTTGCATCAATAAAGTGACAAAATCTACCCTTTCAATCTACCCATATATATGGTTTTACAATTAGTGCCCCCATGCATCCAGCCCAAATAATTACATAAAAAGAACTGAAGCAATAGACTGCAGGATACATAGCCTAATAGAATTGTGATTTCATGTTGATGGAATTAATGTGATTTTTCATGTTGATGGAAGTAATTTTTTTAAGCATTGCAATGTGCTGATGATGTACTAGAGGCACTCACTTGTCTATACCAGGAAATTTGGACGACAGATATTTGACTAACTGGCTGGAAAAGAAACATATTTATACTCATTCTAAAGAAAAGTGATCTAACGGAATGTACAAATTATGTAACAATATCATTGAAATCACACATAAGTAAAATTTTGCTGACGATCATCCAACAACATTGACAAGAGATATCACCGGTGATGTCAGATGGATCTTGGCTGAAAGCAGAGAATACCAGAAAGATGTTTACTTGTGCTTTATAGACTATGCCAAGTCATTTGTCTTTCCAGTATCTGAAGTGGTTTCCAACACCCATAACTATTTAGAACAAGAGTAAGAGGCACCAGCAATGTACAAAATGGGGTGGAAGGGAAAGTTTATATCCAGAAATTCAAGAGATCGGCTAAGAGTTTGTTGAAATGGTGCAGGGCCTAGCAAGAATAGCAAACAATCTTCAACATGTATCCCAAATAGGACCCAGTAGGTGGCTTCTAGGACATTATGTTTAGAAAGATATAGAGGTTTCCTCCAAGCTGAATGAGAAAAAAAAATTTTGTGAATGATTGGTAATGTCTGACATAGGCACAGAAAGAGAAGATGTAAATATGGTATTATGGAGGTACAGTCTGATCTCATCTGACTTTATGGGAAGCTGAAGAGGGGGTGGTCAATATCAACACCAACATTCCAATTCTTATTCCTATGAATCAAAAGTGAAACATACCTCCTCTTTCCAACTTTTGTGCCAATTTGGACACCCCTGCTAGTCCCACAACAGTCTCTACTTCTCTGCTGGGTTTGATAATTTGTTACTATGGCCACACAGAACTCAAGACATTATTACAGGGCTTATTAGGGCGTGTTAGGCTACAATTCAGGGTCAGGCATGCCTCAGGATGTTTTCTGTCAGGGCAGCTACCCACGGCTAGGCTTGGTCCCTTGGTTCCTCAGGCTTCTTGGGCTGGCTGGCCTCTACCCTACTTGAGCAAGTGTTATAATGTGCTAACTCCACTGGTAAGTGCCCAGAGGCACCTAACTCTGCCAGTCAACCTCTTCCCAAATGTTCTCAGCTCTCTAGCTCCACAGGTTGATAGGCCTAGTTCTACCAAGTGTCTCACTCTGTCAGCAAGCCTCCTGTCTGAAGGCATTCCGTTTTCTTACCCTGGGGTCTGGGAACCCACCCAATTTTCTCTTGTCAAGTTTCTAGGTTCTGTAGCCTCTGCTGCTATATCCTGTTGTCTCTGGTATTACAGCACATTCTCTCTCTGTCTCTTGGGTCTAGAAGGTTCTCAATCCAGTGATCCCTGGCCTCAAAGGCACCCTTCACTTCTAGATCTTCTTTCTTTGTAGTAGTGAGGTCCTCCTTTTCATCACTCCACCACTCCAAACCAACCGCCATCGAGTCCATTTTGACTCAAAGTGACCCTTTAGGACAGGGCAGAACTGCCTCTGTGAGTTTCCAAGACTGTAAGTCTTTGCGAGAGCAGAAAGCCTTGTCTTTCTCTTGAGAAGTGGCTGGTTGTTTCACCCTGCTGACCTTGCAGTTAGTAGCCCAATGTGTAACCACTACTCCACCAGGGCTACCCTTTCCATTGCTAGGTGGCTTATCTTTAAGGTGACCAGACGTCCCGCTTTTGGCGAGACAGTCCCGATTTTTAACAATTTTTCCTGTGTCCCAGGGCATTTTTAAAAAGTCCCAATATTGGGAAAGAATGCACGACAAGTCAGGATATATGGTTTTCGGCTGCCATGTGGCTATTTTGCCAGGATATGAGTTTTATCAATGGTGTCCCGCTTTAAAAGATTAAAATCTGGTCACCTTACTTATCTTCCATCTAATGGTGTGGCAAAACTGACCAATGCTCTTAAGTTCCATGTCTCTTGTTCACAGGTTCTCACGCTCACCAAGATTCCAGGTACCTCTAGACTTTAATAGCAAGTTATCCGATCTACTTGGCGGGCCTCAAGCATCTTATTTGCTTAGTCCCACCCAATCATTCGGTGGAAGTTACAAGACTATGGTTAGAAAAACTGTACACACGTGAACCTATGGTGCCTAAGCAGAGTGCATTGGAGGGACGAGTAGAGAAGACCAAAGGCATGACTCTGAGCTGAACAGGTAAAACTGTGTCAGCTGATCCCAGCTCTTAGGCATGTAGGACCTGATCTGGTTTTCAACATTTTCTGTTTTGTCTTGTTTTTATTTGCTCATATTAGGGTCTACCTCAGAACTGTTATGTCATTGGGAGGTCACCCTCATGAAGTTGTGTTCTCTGTTCTTCTGTGTTTTGGTATATGAAACCCAGGATTGATGAATCTATATGGACACCACGTAGAACCAGGGTTTTGGGGGACCGGGAGGGGGTGCTTTACAGTGGTGGAAGTGAGGTAAAAGGAAGACAATGTCAAGGAGTCCAGAAAGAAAAAGAATGCTTAGAAACTGATAGTGGTAGCAATTGTACAATTCTGCTTGATGTGACTGAACTATGGAGTGATATAGGTATTAACTCCCAATTAATGGTAACTTTAAATAAATAAATAAAACAAAAATAGAATGACAGGTTTTAAAAAAAAGTGACCCTAGATGCACAGAAGTGGTGGCACCCATGTCATATACTTTCCACCTCTGGAAGGGCACTTCTTGGATTCAATATAGCTTCATTCCAAAAATTCCATAAGTTGAACCAATTTTAGGTCTGCCTCAAGCGTCGAGTTCTGATGGAAAGCAATCTCACGGATTGGCTCTGTGTTCCAACCTCCATGTGCTCCTTGAACCAAACCCAGGAATCATTCACTTCATTCTCCTGGCCTTGCCTACCAGAAAAAAATGTGAACTTCCTCTTCCAGTGTTGCCAGTCAGAATACTCAAGAATGCCCAAACAGCGAGGGGAGGGCTGAGGAGGTGAGTGAAGGGTGAAGCCTGAAGTCCTCCCAGCTCTGTACTTGATTGAGAAGTTCTGGGGGCCATGCACTCAGGCTCCTACCCCTGAAAGAGAGCTTCCTCCACTCCAACAGAACAGTGTTAGTACATCCTGGTCCCCAGTAATGGCTCACATGTCCTGAGGGATGATGAATTCACTCAAGTCAAGGCCATGAATACTGGTCAACTCCAGTCAGTCATAATAGCTGACAAACAAAAAATATAATTTCTACACCCTGTTATTTGTGCTTTTCTTCAATATGCATAGTCAAGAATTTCACTCCATTCCTATCTGTCAGAGATGGTTGACAGTCATGGGGGGGAGGGGGCCCCCTAGCTTTATCAAGGGAGATTATCTTTTAACTTGAATTATTTTCCATTGTCGATGTTTAAACCCACATTAAGACCAGATTAATGCAGAAAGCAGCTTCAAAGGATATTTACTGGGGGAGAAAAAAATAATCCATGAACTTGGGAAGGATGGGTCCCACTGCAAGGAATATTTTCAGGCTAGAAAAAGCAAGTTGTTTGACTTTACCACATAGCTAAAGAAAATAGGTGTCATAGGGGCTGTTGGCCCTTACAAAAACACCCAAACATTGTTTGAAAACTAGGGCCGGCAGCACTTACTTCTTCCCACATGATTGGAATTAATAATGCAGATAAACTCTAAGTAAGTCAGGATTAGTGTTAACCACATCTTGAGGTTTAGGATACTATAGGAAAATGAAGAGAGAGAGAGAGAGAGAGAGAGAGAGAGAGAGAGAGAGAGAGAAGGAGGGATGAGAAAAGGACTGGAGGAGGGGAGAAGAATATTACAGAGGACCAGCTGAGCAGGGTAATCAAAGCCCTTCTAATCGCTGCAGCTCTGGAGACATGTTCAAAGGCTCTCTGCTGACCACAGGCTGTGCAAGGTCCTAAGTGCAGGAATGGGGGTGGGTATCTGGGAGCTGGGAAGGGGTCAGGGAACGGGGCGGGTGCCTGGGAGCTGGGAAGACTTCTGCTGAGGCTTTATGAGGAGGAGGTCAGCTGGGCTGTCAGATATCTCCTCAGGAAGTGGGTTCCACTTTCTGTTTGCTGGGAGCAATCTCACTCACCCCCATGGCCCTCTTGCCAAACCAGGGAAGGGAAAATTTGAACGTGGATGTTTGTTTGTTCCCCCACTGGAAAGATAGTCGCCAGGATGGCTTCCCCACCCCCACCCCCACCCCCACCCCCGCCCCCAGAGCACTGGACTTGAGCAGAGGGATCACTTTTAGAAAACTGATTGCACCTTGAGCTGAATTTTAATGAAATTATTTAATTCTTTGATGTTTCTACCATTGATGTCATTGACAATGGCCCTGGAACGTCTGTCTGTTCCACATTCTGCTCCCTCCTCTTGAAGGCTGCAGATGAGGAAAAACTGAACCCTTGTCCTCTGGCCACCATTATGCACTTTCAATACCTCCCCAGTTTTTAATGAAGCACAACAGCTCTTAACCTAAGATCCCCGGCCTGCTGACATTGCGGTCATCAACCTGCAGGGAGAGGTGAAGCGCTGGTTGGTAGAATGAATATAGCTTCTAGCTCTCTCTTGGCCTACGTTAACTCAGGCATTGCCTTGCATTCTCACTGCCCTTTGATATTACTGAACTGTCCACTACCTTGCCCCCCGGATTGGTCTCCATGGGACCAGAGCTCTTGCTATGTCCGCTTTGCTGGCTTCTCCTTGGTAAATGCATAGATCTCACTTTTGTCCTAATCTTTAAGCAACCAGGCTGGTCTGAGGTTTCTCAGAAATTTTGGAGTTTTAAGAGATCATATCTCCCATCTGTTTCCTGTTCCGTTTTTCAGTACTTCCGCTTCTTTCCTACACCACCAAATTGGACACACACAAGCTACTGAGCTGTCATTCCCTGTCTGCAAAATAACAAGAAGAGTCTTTCCTGGCAGGTTTACTCTCCTTATAGGTTTACCATTATTTAGACTCCCCAGCAAGCACTATAATGGGATGAAACTGGTGGGTCCTTCCTCAGCCCCCATTGTAATTTGTGGGGGCTCTCTGGGGCCAGCTGTCTGCAGAAAGAGCAGCATACATTTTAGGAACTCTTGATAATTGCCATGGTAATTGGAAACTTTGGTAAAAATAAAGATATGCGGGGAGCGGGAGGGAAAAGGATAAGTCAAGTTGTAAATGCCTAGTCTTCAATAAACCTCATAATACTAAACATGGGAGATGAACGGGGACTGGTATTTAGTGAAATCTACTTTATTACTACTACTACTACTATATGATTGTGGAAACGAAGAAGCATGAATTTGATCCAAGCATAAAAATAAAGTCCCCCCCCCACCACCCACCAACACCCACACAATTGGGAGAATATACCCAAGAACATATAGCCTTCCCTCCACAAAGCCAGAACATCATGCAATGAACAGCAGACAATCCTTAGGCTTTGGTGGTTAGTACAAAGAATGTTATTCCTATACGAGGCTGAGAGCATTTCCCAGACACCAAGTCACTTCTTTTAATCAGGAAGAAGTAGAGAAATAATGCTTCATGATGAGCTCTCAGCCTTCCATAAAAACAGAAGCAGCTACAGTGACAAGAAGCCATACAGTTCAAGTGAATGGGTGTGATGCATTCAGATGACAGTATGTGGGTGCATTTAGATTTCTACAGGTAAGGATTTAGATATGTGCTGCTGCTCTTAGGTGCTGTCAAGTGGGTTCTGACTCATAGTGACCCCAGGTATAACAGAACAAATCACTGCCAGGTCTTTCTCGGTTCTCACAATCTTGTTGTTTGAGCCCACTGTGGCAGCTACTGTGTCAGTTCATCTCACTGGGGCTCCTCCCCCCGACTTTTTTTTTTTGGCTGCCCTTCTTTTACCAAGCATGATGTCCTTTTCCAGGGACTGCTTTCTTTTGATAGCATCCAAAGCATGTGAGATGAAATCTTGCCATCCTTGCTTCTAAGGAGCATTCTGGCTGTGCTTCCAAAAAAGATTTTTGTTCTTTTGATAGTCCATGGTATTTTCAATATTCTCCACCAGCACTGTAATTCAAATGCACGGATTCCTCTTCATTCTTCTTCCTTACTCGATGTCCAACTTCCACATGCATATGAGAGAAATGAAAATGCTCTGGCTTGGGACAGATGCACCCCTTAGCCCTCAGAGTGACGTCCTTGCTCTTCAACACTACACAGCACATGCACATGCATGAATGCCTATGCACTTATTTCTGTTAGCTGCTATCAAGTCAACTCTGGCTCATGGTAACCGTGTATACTACAGAACAAGACATTGTCTGGTCCTTAGTCATGCTCACCAGAGTCAGTATATTCAAGCCCATCAGCGCGGCTATTGTGCCAACCCATAGCTCCGAGGGTCTTCCACACCTTCTTTGACCTTCTATTTCATTAAGCATGGTGTCTTCTCTAGTGATCGATCCCTCCTGATGACATTTTCAAAGCGAGTTGGACAATGTTCTGCTGCCATCCATCAGTTTTCATTGGCTACTATCAGTCGCTTTCCTGATATCATGAAAGTCAGTCTGCCGTGAAAACTGCTGGATAGGTAGATGGGGAGTTCCCACTTACAGAAGTGATTTTAGGTAATACAAGAAAACTGGATTTTGTTTCTAAAGATAATTATGGAAGACAATGAAAGAGATTGCACACGGATAAAAATTTTTAGAGAACTGCTGCTCTGAATTATTATTTCAAGGAGACATCTTCAAAATATGCAGGGATTTCTTGGAATTAAGCCTTTACTTTTGTCTCCCCACTTTGTTTTTCAGCAACCACATTTTGGAAGCACTGTGAATGAGTCCGACTCCAAAGCCTTGCCTTTCAAGGAGGAAGACAACTCATGGGTGAGCATCACTGGGAAGCCCCAACGATGGTGGTCCCTCCAGTTCAGAGTAGCTCCAAGTCTGTTTGGGTCAAGGGTGACAGTTAAGTCCCGGAGCGTCCATGTATGTGACTTCAAATATCCTCAGCCAGTCTCAAAGACTGCTTCAGGCCATCTATCACATACGGATCCTTCCTTCCTTCCTTCCTTCCTTCCTTCCTTCCTTCCTTCCTTCCTTCCTCCCTCTTTCCCTTCCTCCCTCTTTCCCTTCCTCCCTCCCTCCTTCCTTGAAAACATGCTTTCTGAGATTAGATCAAACACCAAGGCTCATCTCAAGTAACCCGCCTTACTGGTTGGAGACAGCTGTAAAGAAACTGAAGGATGTGGGGATGTTTGCTAGAAGAGCGGTGAGCCAACCCTAGACATTTATCCGGAAGAGTTAACAATTATTCCACATTTCTCTTTCTCCTTCAGAAAGGAGTCAATTCACCACATTTTAGCAATAGGGCATTGTTTCTAATGTTACGCCATTGAAAATGAGAAAGTTCTTCAACTTTGAACATGGTAATTAAATCTGAATTGGATGGGATATTTGTAACTTTGAATGCTTGGATTCCGAAAGGAAGGAAAAAACTGTGTAATGTTGTTGGCCAAATGACCCTAGTCATTAAGATTCCTATGGCATTATTTAGTTAGTTGGCTTTTTATAACACCGTGAGGTTTGCTGTCAGCCACAGAGGAAGCCACTGGCTGCAAATGGAGGAGAAGTGTGTTAGAGAAGACGGTCCTTGGAGGAGGGAAGCAGCCCCTTCAATTTCTACTAATAGTTCCCTTCACCAAAGATCAAGGCTGCGGGACTGGTAGGAACTGAGACAAGTTGAGGGAGGGAAATGAACAGAAATAACTGTTTTGAGAGAGGCCAATGGAAACGACGTCCAGATCCAAGAAAAGAAAAATGAGACAGGAAAGGGAGGGTCACATTTTTGAAGGAAATCATGCGGTATTTTGGTAATCCTTTGTTGATGAAAAAAAATTAACAGCACATTAATTATGTCCTAAGAATGGGGCGTTGCTGGGTTGCTGGTTTACATCTTTGGTCTTTCCAAGGCTGGGCCAGCAGCGGAGTGGGTACTGGGGCTTCTGTTCTCTGAAAGGCTCCTGGGTGCACATTGCTGAGCACCTCCGCAGGGCGGAAATCTGATCCGTGCAGGAGATAGGAGGAGATTTTACAAGACAAGTAACAACAAGCCAATAGTTTAGGATCTTTATAAGACTGGTAATGTTCTGCCAAAGCAAAGTGGTGAAATTGGATATGCCAAGCAAGAAATTCTTCCCTCTTCTCCTTTCCTTCCACCCTCCCTCCTTTTCTTCTTCTGTTTGTCCATCCTTCTTCCTTCCCTTCCCGCCTTCCTTCTTTGGGTCAGTCCCCTTTTCTCCTTTTCCAAAACCTTTAAAAATCAATGGCATCTACTTGTGAATTCCTTTGGAAATAGTTCACATTATTCCCATTTAGACATGTATGTTTAAGTCCAATGGGACCTTCTTTATCCTTCCAGACCCATAAGCAAACTTAAGCAGGTAGCTGGCTACTTCCTTTAAGGGTGCCTGACAGATTAGACATACATTGCTGTGGTAGTAAAAAGGTGACAAATGCTTGCCTTCTTTCGAGCCACACTGCTGCTGGTTATTGTCATGTGACTTTCTTTGGCCAATGGAACAAATGTGACATAAGCAGAGACTGAAAAGTGCTGTGATTGTGGCTTCCTCAATTGCTGCTCTTTGGAACTTTGAGACCATAGTGTGAAGAAGCTCAAGTGAGCCTGCTAGCGGGTGGGAGAAGTGCTTCAGTGGGCGCTGAGCCGACAGTAACATTGGGAGGCAAGACTATTCTGGATGAGCTATCCAAGCCAAGCTGACTCAGACAAGAACAATGGTACAGCCTACTCAAAGAATTAAGATAAATTATTTATTGTTTCAAGCAACTAAGTTTCAGAGTGGGTTGTTTTGCAGTAACAACAAACAATTGTGACATTTATTTATTTTCATTTGAGCTCTGTTATTAGGGGCATCTTTCTTTAAATATAAGGTGCTGTTTTGATACTTGCTTATTACATGACAATGCTCCCTTGATGGTTAATTGTTCTCTCTAGCAAGTGTTCCTGAGTAGTCAGGGTGGTCACATGACCACCCTGCAAAAGCTGCTTCCAACAGGTTTGTGGCTGTATTTCCCAGGAAGCAGTGCTTCTCCTTCTAGCCATCCAAGGGCAAGCTTCTAAAGATGAATACGCCAAACAGGTGGCTTGGCAGACACTGTTTCTCAGTTCCTCCGCGTCCCTCCCCCCACCACCACCCCGACAACAGTCACTTTTTTATTGTCTGAGAGCCTGGAGAGACTCTTTATTCTAGCTCCATGCTACTGCTGTTACAATCTTACTCCCAAATTCCTCATTCACATGCACATCTTTTTTTTTTCTTGAGAAGAAAGAAAAGGTATCAGTATTATTGTACCCTTTTAAATAAAACCAGCAATTTTTTGTGGCATACTTATTCTTTTGGGGGGGTTGAGGGGATGGGGGAGGTGTATAAGGTTGTTGTGGGAACAATCCTGGACTTCCAAAGGTTTCCTGCTCCCTGGTCTGCCTTTCTTTCCAGTCCATTATGGAGTCTCCGTTTATCACATTAGTGCTCCATTATTTATATGTCATCTCATTCCAAAAATGGTCACAGTGACTTATTACCAGCTTAATCCTCTGAGCGCACTGACCTCAGCATGCGGAACACTCAGTGGTCCCCCGCACTCTTTGGGTGAAGGCCCAGCTCTGTGGCCAGGCATGTGGGCCTTCTACAATTTGGCCTCCCTCTGTTTTCCTTGCAAGGCCTCCTTTTAGTCCTCTGTAAATATACCATCACTGACAGCACTGAGACGAATCTCCTTCATTGCTCTGTATTCTTGCACTTTCCTCTTAGCGATCACAGTCACCTTTTAAGACTTCCTCCAAGGGCCCCTGCAGAGTCTCCTCCATAGAACCCTCTCCAAGCACCTCAGCTCATGATGGTTTCTTGCTCCTTCAAACTCTTACAGCTCTTTGGGAGTCTGATCATTCATTTGATATTTGTCCCCTACAAATATGGTCGGCTGGCATTTTTTGGTCTTTTAAGCCTTCCAGCTTTGCTTATGTGCTTCCTGGGGGAAAGATGATATGTCTTCGTATTCCCTAACACCAAACAATTTATCTAATCACCAATCTGTTTTAAAAATATTTCCTTAGATAATACATGCGTGTGTGTGTGTGTGTGTGTGTGTGTGTGTGTGTGTGATTTTTAAACTACAGTAAAACCTACAGAAAGCTGTAATCTGTGTAAGGTGGAAACCCATCAGAGAAGGAAAACAAATATTTTCTACTAATAGGAAGCAACAGAGTAAGTGTTACGACAGCATCCTGTCAAAGGAAGAAAACTTTCCAGACACAGAAAAACAAGGCTGTCCCGTCAGGTTTTGGCTCTTACCCATCCAGACGCACTCCAGCTCACAGAGACCCTATAGCACACAGTAGAACTGGCCTTGTGGGCTTCTGAGGCTGTAAATCTTTACAGGAACAGAAATCCCCATTTCCCCCCTGTAGAGCAGCTAGTGAATTTGAACTGATGACCTTGTGATGAGGAGCCCAGTGCATAACCCACTATGCCACCTGAGCTCCTTTCCAGCTCCCGCAGGTTTCAATTTATCATAGGGGTTTCAAATAGTTCATGGGAAATGGAACTAAAAGAGAATGGAATTATTCACAAACTTCTGGCTCATATAAAAAAGAAAAAGGTATATATTACAGATCATCATTGATAGGTATATCTGAATTGTTTATTTTTAAAAGGAAATATTCCCCCCTCACCGGATTATGAAAATGTAATTTACATGGCAAAAATGTCACCCTTTTTACAGCTTACAATTTGGTGGTTTTTCAGAGCTGGATAAACAAAACCGCTATCTATTCCCTGAACATTTTCATCATCCTAGAAAGAACAACCCCCCCCCCCCACCTGCTTAGCAGGTACTCCTCACTCCCTCACCACTGTCCACTGGTAATTACCAGTCGACCCTGTCCCCCATGGGTTTGCCTGTTCTGGACATCTTGTAGACATGCTTCTATACAGTCTGTGCTCCTTAGTGATCGACTTCTTCTGTTAAGCATAATATTTTCAATGTTTAGCCCTGGTTTAGCATTTATCAGTACTCGGATTGTTTTTATGGGTGGATAGTACTCCATTGTATGGATATACCACATTCACCAGTTGATGGACATGTGGATCATTTCCACTTGTTTGATTACCATGAACGATGCTTCTGTGACCATGAGTGCATACATTGCTTTTGTGTTGACAAAGGTTTTCACATTTCTTGGGAGTTTACCTAGGAGTGGACTTGCTGGGTCCTATATTGACTTTGGTTTAATTTGGGAAATGTCTTTTACCTCTGCGACTTTGATGATCAATACTATCACTGCTATTGGATGTTACTATTACTGAGGTCTCCGTCTTGCACCTTAAACTCAAGTCTTCATATGCTTGATCTCATTTAATCCTCACAAAATCCTCGCTTCACAGAAGGGAAGAGTGAGGCTTAGTAAGGGTAAGTGGCTTATCGAAGGCTTACAAATTTTAATGTAGATTTGACTCTAGGCCTTGGTACTCTTTTCAAAAAAATCATTTTATTAGGGGCTCATACACAATCCATACATACATCAATTGTGTAAAGCACATCTGTACATTCATTGCCCTCATCATGCCCCTGGCATCAGCTCTTCCTTTTTCCTCTCCCTTCCCCTCCCTCCTCTCTCATGAACCCTTGAGAATTTATAAATTATTATTTTGTCACATCTTGCCCTGCCCGACGTCTCCCTTCACCCACTTTTCTGTTGTCCATCCCCTAGGGAGGAGGTTATATGTAGATCTTTGTAATCTGTTCCCCCTTTCCAACCCATGCTTCCGGTATCGCCACTCGCACCACTGGTCCTGAAGGGATCATCT